GAAGGAGCGCCGCGATCGACCGCGCGGCGCCAGAACGACGAGGGAACGCAGTTCCCAGTCCCCCTCCACCCGTCCCCTTGCCGGCCCCACAAAAGGAAATCGTTAGCCGGCCCGCGGCGCGCGGCACTGACAGCCGTTGCTCGCGGGTACCGGCAGTGAAAAGTAATAGGGGCCCAAAAAGAAACTGCAGGGACAGGGAGAAGGGAACAGCGAAAGTAAAAACTAAATAAATTAATTAATTAATTAAATGAAATAAATAAATGAAATAAATAAATTAGCTACATAAATAAATTAACTTAGGTAAATAATAGAACAATACAATCCAAAACACAGAGAAACAAACAATATATGTAAGCAATTGCCAGGGAGGCAAAATACTCTGACCTGATGTTGGCTGGAGCAGCAAAGAAAGAGGAAGTGATGTCATAGACAGGGCCTTTTATGGGCATCATAACTTTTTTCTGATTGGTTGTTATGTTTCTATGCTGCTGGAGTTTTCAGTAAAGAAAGATATGCAAATATGAAGCCTCCTGTCATGTGGTAAAATTACACATATATATATATATATTTTTTTTTTTAATTCTTTATTTTTGGGATGCAGGTAGGTACAACAGTGCCTGTATCGCCACAACAGCATCAACAGGCTCAATTATCATAGTTATAACAGTTGTGTGGCATGTTAAGTTTGCATACATTTTTTAAATAAAGTAAGTAATTGTAGAGTAAACAAGCTGTTATCAATATAGCTCTAGGCTCAACAACAAATTTTGTTCCTTTCTAGGCATTCATGACATTCCTAGGTACTTACAGGGTTAACAATATGTTGAATGATTTAACAGTTATTTTTCAAGCTATGGCAACCGCATTCTCGTATTAGGGTTGTGTAGTCGCTATGAAACAGGTTGGCAAGTTAGTGACACTTATACTGTAGGTACCCATATCGGAGTAAGCTTGTAGTGAGTAACTTGTACAATGTTCTGATATATGTTAACTAGTTAAAGCATAATAAAGATTAATAATTACGTTAGCTCCGGTTAGGTCACTGAGGGGAACTAAATAGATGAGTATATGCAATTTGCTGAGATTAGATTAAGCATGAAATTAACTTATGTATATTAATATTGCCTCGTTTGGTACCGGCAAGCTGGGTATGGCTGTAAGTCCTGAGGGGGGACATGGGTACCTCGCTCGAGGGCATACGGCACGGTCAGCCAATGCCTCGGCTCGGCAGAGCCATACCGTCTCTGGAGAATCCCGATTTCTTCTGGGTGCGTCTCTGTGGCAGGTCAAGCTGTGGTTTTCGTCTGGCTGCTCGTTTGGAGTCTATGCAGCGTCTGGAAGGTGGAGTGCCCCTTCGGCCCTGGAGCTGTGTGAGGGCTGGTACTGTCTGACCACGAGCCTGGACTCCTATAGGGTTCAGGGACACCCCTGTTGGGGTGGTGCGTCGGGCCTTCTGTGGGTCAGGTGTATGTTGTCGCGTTTTCTTTGCTGCCCTCCGCTTGTGTGGCCTGTACCTGTGGGTCTGGACCCGTAATGCCCTCAGCCCAGGCGGGCGTCTCGTGCGAGGTGCAAGTGTGAGGTACAGTGTTATGCCTTTCAGAGGTTTCCCAGGTCTCCCTGTGCTGCAGGCTTGATCTGTAAGTGGTGTTTGCTTAGACGCCGCAGATTGCGTGCGGGCCTGGAGCCGAGCCCAGAATCTGTCAAAAATAGCGTTAAGTGAGTCTCTTGTATTGAGATCGGGGCTAGTCACTTCAGGCTGCAGTATTCGCATGCCGCGTGTATCTGAGTCCGCTGAGACAGCCATCTTGAAGAGCTTCTCCTCCGTTCTGTCTGTGATCTCTGTCGACCCCCTTGACAGGTACATGGCGAAGCTATCTTTCTTTCGGCGGGGACCGGGATATCCCCCACCGGTCCACAGGGGGGGGGGGAAGGTTAGAGCTTGCTTACGGTTTGGAGCAGCGGGCGGGAAGCGGCTGTCCTCCCACCCTACCATCTCCTGTAGGCCTCAGCCCGCTGTCACGGTTCCCGGGTGTTCCGGGTGTCAAGTTTGGTATCCGCAGATATGCGCCGGCTTCCCCAGTCTGTAGGGCTTTTTTATGAAGGAGTCCCAGCACTGTGATCCGAGTTATTACCCTTTTAGTGTCCGTGCAGCAGGAGCTCGTGCAAAGCATGTCTTGCTTGCTTACTGGTCAGTCTCCGCCCCATTTTTTGAATTTTTTACATTTTATTTTTTAACGTATTTACATATATATTTATTTTATATTATATAAAAAATTATATATATATTTAATTAATATCAATCTACTTATATTTTGATATTAATATATATATAATTTTATATATATATATTAATATTAAAATACACTTAGACAGTGTATGTGTATTTATGTGTATGTATGTATATGTGTACAGTTGCAAGAAAAAGTATGTGAACCCTTTGGAATGATATGGATTTCTGCACAAATTGGTCATAAAATGTGATCTGATCATCATCTAAGTCACAACAATAGACAATCACAGTCTGCTTAAACTAATAACACACAAAGAATGAAATGTTGCCATGTTTTTATTGAACACACCATGTAAACATTCACAGTGCAGGTGGAAAAAGTATGTGAACCCTTGGATTTAATAACTGGTTGAACCTCCTTTGGCAGCAATAACTTCAACCAAACGTTTCCTGTAGTTGCAGATCAGACGTGCACAACGGTCAGGAGTAATTCTTGACCATTCCTCTTTACAGAACTGTTTCAGTTCAGCAATATTCTTGGGATGTCTGGTGTGAATCGCTTTCTTGAGGTCATGCCACAGCATCTCAATCGGGTTGAGGTCAGGACTCTGACTGGGCCACTTCAGAAGGCGTATTTTCTTCTGTTTAAGCCATTCTGTTGTTGATTTACTTCTATGCTTTGGGTCATTGTCATGTTGCAACACCCATCTTCTGTTGAGCTTCAGCTGGTAGACAGATGGCCTTAAGTTCTCCTGCAAAATGTCTTGATAAACATGGGAATTCATTTTTCCTTCGATGATAGCAATCCGTCCAGGCCCTGACGCAGCAAAGCAGCCCCTAACCACGGTGCCCCAACCACCATACTTTACAGTTGGGATGAGGTTTTGATGTTGGTGTGCTATGCCTTTGTGTTTCTTCCAAACAACTCAACTTTGGTTTCATCTGTCCACAGAATATTTTGCCAGTACTACTGTGGAACATCCAGGTGCTCTTGTGCAAACTGTAAACGTGCAGCAATGTTTTGTTTGGACAGCAGTGGCTTCCTCTGTGGTATCCTCCCATGAAATCCATTCTTGTTAGGGTTTTACGTATTGTAGATTCGCTAACAGGGATGCCAGTGACTTTTGTAAGTCTTTTGATTTTGTAAGTTTTTTGTAAGTCGCTGAAACTCTAGGATTCTTCTTCACCTCATTGAGCAGTCTGCTCTGTGCTTTTGCAGTCATCTTTACAGGACGGCCACTCCTAGGGAGAGTAGCAGCAGTGCTGAACTTTCTCCATTTATAGACAATTTGTCTCACCGTGGACTGATAAACAGCAAGGCTTTTAGAGATACTTTTATAACCCTTTCCAGCTTTATGCAAGTCAACAATTCTTAATCGTAGGTCTTCTGAGAGCTCTTTTGTGCGAGGCATCATTCACATCAGGCAATGCTTCTTGTGAAAAGCAAACCCAGAACTGGTGTGTGTTTTTTATAGGGCAGGGCAGCTGTAACCAACACCTCCAATCTCATCTCATTGATTGGACTCCAGTTGGCTGACATCTCACTCCAATTAGCTCTTGGAGATGTCATTAGTCTAGGGGTTCACATACTTTTTCCACCTGCACTGTGAATGTTTACATGGTGTGTTCAATAAAAACATGGCAACATTTCATTCTTTGTGATTGTCTATTGTTGTGACTTAGATGATGATCAGATCACATTTTATGACCAATTTGTGCAGAAATCCATATCATTCCAAAGGGTTCACATACTTTTTCTTGCAACTGTATATATATATATATATATATATATATATACTTAGATCATATATGAGTATATATATATATATGATCTAAGTATATATAATTTAATTTTAAACTGTTTTAACAGTTTTTCTTTTTTTTACAGGCAGCTGGGGGAGTACCTGGCATTACCCCGCTGGCACTGCTTTGGACAGCTATCACATGGCCCAGGGGGGCTGAAACGGATGGAGGGGGACTCCCTGGGCTGCTAGGTGAGTCCCCACACCGCGATCACCGGCGTGGGATAGCCGGTGACTGGGTAAGTAGAAAGGATGGCGGGTACGTGCTATGCCGACCCCCGGCGTTTAGAGCCGGGTCCCCAAGGATTAATAGGTATAAGGTTAATAGATATAACGCACTTATTAGGAACAAACTTGAACCACAACAGGGCAATGACTTATGCCCTTAGAGCCTTTTTAGAGTGTGGCTCTTTAATTTTGTTGCCACGCCCCCAAAAACGGTCGAATTCTAACATTTTGGCGAGCCATTACATTGTTAGATGAAAAGGGGCGTGGCTATATATGCTGGAGAGAGGAGAGGGACATAGGGAAAGGTCCCTCTCCACATGAAGGATGTCCCCAGGTTGTGGCACAGCCTGTGCAACCACACAAGATACCCTGACACCAGTGGCGTACATACCAGGGTCGCCCCTGCGACCCGGTATGTACGCTCAGGGCCAGCCTCTTCCCCTGGGGGGCCCAGGAGCCGGCCACCCCAGGGCCCCCCAAGGCTGGCCCTGCTGTCACCGGGTGGCCGGTCGGGAAGGCGGGCGCGCGAGGGAGCACTCAGTGCTTCCTCTTCAGCTCCCTCGCGCACCGCACTGATGCCAGAGCCGGAAGATGACGTCATCTTCCGGCTCCGCCTCCGGCATCCCTATGCGGCGCGCGAGGGAGCTGAAGAGGAAGCACTGAGTGCTCCCTCGCGCGCCCGCCTGCCGACCGGCCACCCGCCCCGGGGTCAGCAGCACCACTGGACCCCAGGGAATCCCCCCAGCACTCCAAAAGGTAAGGAGGCTGGGGGGATTACATAAAAAAAAACAAAAAACTAGTGTTAGTGTGAGAGTGAGTGTTAGTGTGTGTGTGAGGGTTAGTGTGAGTGTCTGCTAGTGAGTGTTAGTGTGAGTGTGTGTGTGTTAGTGTGTGTGTGTCTGCTAGTGAGTGTTAGTGTGTGTGTGTCTGCTAGTGAGTGTTAGTGTGTGTGTCTGCTAGTTAGTGTTAGTGTGTGTGTGTTAGAGTGAGTGTTAGTGTGTGTGTTACTGTGTGTGTCTTACTGAGTGTGTGTGTTAGTGAGTCTGTTTGATGTCTGTTAGTGAGTGTGTGTTTGTCAATGAGAGTGTATGTTTTGTAAGTGAGTGTGTATGTATGTCTGTCGCTGAGTGTGTCTCTGTCAGTAAATGTGTGTGTCTGTTAGCTAGGGTGTATGCGTCTGTAAGTGTGTGTGTGTGTGTGTCTTCAGCACTTACCTTTCTCCAGCGCCGGACTCCCTTGGCGCTGGGGATCCCTCAGCCTCTCAGCTCCGAATGCGACCGCGCACGCATTCAAACCGCCCATAGGAAAGCATTACTCAATGCTTTCCTATGGACGCTCAGTGTGCTCCTCTAGCGGCTGTCAGTGAGACAGCCACTAGAGGCTGGATTAACCCTCAGTGAAACATAGCAGTTTCTCTGAAACTGCTATGTTTTCAGCTGCAGGGTTAAAACTAGAGGGACGTGACACCCAGACAACTTCATTGAGCTGATGTGATCTGGGCGTCTGTAGTGGTCCTTTAAAGGACCACTATAGTGCCAGGAAAACATACTCGTTTTCCTGGCACTATAGTGCCCTGAGGGTGCCCCCACCCTCAGGGACCCCCTCCCGCCCGGCTCTGGAAAGGGGAAAAGGGGTAAAACGTACCTTTTTCCAGTGCTGGGCGGAGAGCTCTCCTCCTCCCATCCTCCTCTTCTCCTCCCCGTCGGCTGTATGCGCACGCGCGGCAAGAGCTGCGCGCGCATTCAGCCGGTCACATAGGAAAGCATTCATAATGCTTTCCTATGGACGCTGGCGTGCTCTCACTGTGAAAATCACAGTGAGAAGCACGCAAGCGCCTCTAGCGGCTGTCAATGAGACAGCCGCTAGAGGAAATAGGGGAAGGCTTAACCCATTCAGAAACATAGCAGTTTCTCTGAAACTGCTATGTTTATGAAAAAATGGGTTAACCCTAGCTGGACCTGGCACCCAGACCACTTCATTAAGCTGAAGTGGTCTGGGTGCCTAGAGTGGTCCTTTAAGTGTGTGTGCATCTGCATGCACTGGCGTACATACCGCGATCGCAGGGGTCGCAGCCCTGTAACCTCTGCGACCAGGTGCCCACCGTCATGTGTTGCGGCCCGGCCCGCGCGCGGGGGGGGGAGGGGAAGGACGGAGGGGGGGGGGGCCCACGGATCAATTTTCGCACCGGGGCCCCATGGGTCCTGTGTACGCCACTGCCTGACACCCTCTGTGTGTCTCTCTGTCCCCCCCTCAGCCCTATGTGTGTCTCTTTGTCCTCTTCAGCCCTTCTGTGTTGTGCCTCTTTGTCCCCCAGCCCCTTTACGTGCCTTTTTGTTTTCCCCCAGCCTGTCTGTGTGCCTCTTTGTCCCCCCAGCCCCTCTGTGTGTCTATTTGTCGTCCCAACTCTTTATTGTGCCTCTTTTCCTTCCCCCACATCCCTTTGTGGCTCTTTTTCCCACCTGTTCACCTGCGTGAAGCGTAGCTAAATGAAGCACGGTGAAGGAGCTTCTGTTTCCTCTACCTGGTCTGACAGGAACTGTTCGTTGCTTACTGCCAGACTTGGTTGAGGATACAGAAGATCATCTACCGCGGTCCACTCAGGAAAGCTACATGCCGCTTTGCAATGTGCTCCCCTCCTGACAGTAACCCAGAGATTGCACCCCTGGGCTGGTGCGCCTTAGGCAGCTGCTTAGTTCGCCTAACGGTACTGCCAGCCCTGCCTTTTGGGCCACATTAGCCAAACTGGAAGCATAGAATATGTAGAGAATGTTTCCAGCAAATACTAACACACAAAATTAACCCTACACTATAACTCCCACTACTCTGGGCGGCAGCAGTGGCTACAGTATACATAAACCCACTCCAATGGACATTAACATGTAAGCTTAACTTACTCATCAAAGCGAAACCGCTTAAGTGAGTCCTACATTAACAATTCACCTTGCTGCTTTCATCTTCTTTTCTTTTATGTATTTGAGCTGGTGTATACTAAATCCACTACTGCTACCCTTATCATATATATTTGAGTTTGTCCTTTAACCATTATCCTTCATGAAACAATTGTTTCTAACATGACAAAAATAATCTGATGGTACAAGCCAGCACCCTATGTATTTTTATCATTTGGTAATGCTCCTTATGCCTTCGGTATAGTCTGGGATGTGGGTGGGTGTCTGCACTGTAGCCAGTTATGTATAACCACAGTCACCCAAATGAAATTACACTTGCAAAAAATAGTCAGTACCAGCTGCCCTGTACACCAGCCAATGAAATTCTGGCAGATGTCCATTATGTAAATTTGGCCAATGACTCCTTGCACTGTCACTAACACACAGCTTTTCTATTGTTCCAATTTAAATGACAGTGCTGTCCATTTATTATTAATCTTACTTAGACTGATAAAGGATTTCAATACTTAAGTATACAGTGTTAAAGTGGACAGTAAGGTAAACAGTGGGGGTGGGGGAGAGGGGAATAAATGCAAGGTCCTGCAGAGATTGTATCACAATAATGTTTTGTTTTTTCCTTCAGTATATTTTATAATAAGCTACCTAGGCTCAAGTGTGCTTAGTTAAAAATGCAGATTTTTTCCACTCAGTTGCTTACTTCTAAGAGACATCTCTTAAAAAGTCCATCTGTAAAGCTGTTAGCAGCACATGCACAATCATCTGCAATCTGCATACATATAACCCAATATTTTGGTTGACATAACCTCTACAACTCATTGCAGTGGTTATGGTGCTGTGAGTCTCTCAGTGCAGTCTGCCAGTTTTCTTTCAAACGTTTATCAAGTAGTTTGACATAAAACCTGGGCATTCCTTGGTACCAATGCCTTGTCCTTTTGCATCAGTGTGAATAAAGCCAAATATTGACTTTCATCTGTTAAAAAAAAAAAAGAAGCATAACCTTGCACAGTAATGATCGTCTAAGGCCCCAGGGCTAACCTTCCCCCAACACTCTCAGAGAATGGGATAAGCAGAAGTTCAGTTTTCCATTGTCATATTACTTGGATCTGCTAGGCATAGACCTACATGTACACAATATACATCCATCATGGTGTCACTCCTGCATCAATATTGATCCATTATTTCATTTAAGCACGCACCATACTGATGGCGATTGTCATTGTGGCGTCGATAGTGACATGCAACGCTTCTCTATATGCCCAATGTATGTGTCCCAAGACCTGCGTCATAAATTGACGCTGAGACAATCTCCATCAGTCAAACGACACAGGTCAAGCATGTTTTGGTGTCTCTTTTGATGCAGATCTATCACAGTTCTTGTAGGCTATTTTAAGAGCTGTAAACCTGATAGTACATTCATACTGCTTTGGCTATTCTGTTATCTGAACCAGGCTTGTCTGACTATTCATGCTATCTTTTATCCTGACCTTAGCTTGTCTCTTGATTCAGTGTTCCTCTATGGTCCTTGATCTTGGCCTGATTAACTTTATTTCTTTGTCTGCTTGCAGACATGACTGCTGACCCCGGACCAAAAACTCCCACCACCCGTTGCCCAATAAATACACAACACCTTCTGTATGGGTAAGGGCAACGGCCACAGCTTTATTAACAGAATTAACATCGATTATCACCAGCGTCCACAACCTGTCAGCTGTTGGGGGATTACCAACAGACAGCTCTATCAAAAGACCCACGAGTCCAATGCAGCCTGCCCCCGCCATCAGCTCTCAGCAGGCTGTGACTCCCCAAGCCGCTTGGGCACTTTCTTCCAAACCTCTTCGCTGGCCAGGACTACCGCGAGCTGTGACAAAACAAAGAAACAACAGCACACAACCAACAACAACACCATCATAACACACGTTTTGTGGGTGGGTGGGCGGGAAGCTAGCAACACTACACCTCTGCCCAGGAACTGGTGAGTACCCTCCCCTTTTTCCCCATCTTAATGTCCCCCCATGTGTAACAATGTATCCCCTTGTGACCCAACCCCTTATCCCTGCCAGCAGTCATGTCCTCCCTTCCTTAAGATGTCCAGGGAGGTACTTGACTGCTGACCCCGGACCAAAAACTCCCACCACCCGTTGCCCAATAAATACACAACACCTTCTGTATGGGTAAGGGCAACGGCCACAGCTTTATTAACAGAATTAACATCAATTATCACCAGCGTCCACAACCTGTCAGCTGTTGAGGGATTACCAACAGACAGCTCTATCAAAAGACCCACGAGTCCAATGCAGCCTGCCCCCGCCATCAGCTCTCAGCAGGCTGCGACTCCCCAAGCCGCTTGGGCACTTTCTTCCAAACCTCTTCGCTGGCCAGGACTACCGCCACCGCGGTTCCTCCCTACCTACTCCTCTGGGAGGGACCGCGCCCCCCCGCAGCCAGCGCCTCCTCAATACCTGCCTGAAGACCCGCATTCAGGATATCCAATCCTATGAGGGAAAGGTGCACCCCATCCTTCCGCATCAAGTCGGACTTGTCCCCTTCCAGCTCCCTGTGCCTAATGACAAAACCACCAATCCGGCGGACAAATTTTCCGATGGCCACGTTGAGCCTGCGCCTACTACGCTCCACGCCCTTAGCATGCGGCAGCGAACGCCAACGCGGCCTGGACACTATGTCCGACCAGATCAGGGTCAACTCGGGGAAAAGAGCCATACACCGAGCCAGATCGTGTGTAATCGCATGCAGGAGGTCCACTGACCTACTGCGCCCCAGGTCATTTCCCCCTGCATGAATTACTAGGGTCACTGGCCCCGACACGTACCTACGAAGGGATACGCACTCCGAATACAGCTGCTGCCACAACATACCCCTAATACCCCTCCACCTTACCCTGGCTATCTCGTAGGAAAAACCCAAATTCCTCCCGTAGGGACGCTCCTCAGCTCGCCGCGCTGCCCAATAAACGTAGGAATGTCCCAGTATCCAAATGCAGCGGGGCCGAGGACCTACGGAGAGATTGCATTATAGTAAATGAGGTCTGACATAGGACCTGTAG